CTTCACCAAAACCACTGGCAACTGACCTTGGCGCAGCTGACCGATTCACTAGGAGGCTACTGTAATAGATGATGGCAAGGTCTTTCAGGTGGGGCACTGCTCGACTCGGTCCTGCTCATCCCATCCCAGGGACCCGGGACCCTTCCTTGCCCTTCCTTGCATCAGCCACCAGGTACTTTGGCTCAAAAACTTCAAGATCATCTACAGGACGAGGTGCAACCACCACCTCCGAGGACAACCGAGGCGCAACGAGCATTGCTGAAGGACCAAGCCAGTGAGACGACCTGCGTGGGCTCGGCCACCAGCTGTGGGGGTGCCGAAAACCCCCGAAACGCCTGACCAGCGCTTCGTTGACAGAGAGACTCAGTGAGAGTCGTTCCAGTTTTCAGGGGGATCTGCCCCGCTTTATTTACTCTTTTGGGGGTGAAGGAAGGAACCACTATCAATCAAGGATCGAAGATTATCGAAGATGATCAACTCCTCGCAACGCACCAAAAAGACCAAACATGAGGGTTCTTTCGGGACCTATGACCTATACTATGTGGTTTGAAAATTGGTCCAGTCAAACAGGTGCTTTTCGTCGCTTGACTCGGCTCGACCCTCCTGGTTCAGCTCCATCTTGCTCCCCTGCGGCGAGCTCCGCGCGCGAGAGCGAGCGAGGCTGGGGAGGATCAACTGGATGTGTGAGTGTTTCTATGTATGTAGGTCTTGATGTTTGGCAAAGACCAGGTCAGCCGCACCAACTTTCAACAATCTGGGCAAAATCTATGCCACCCATGCAAGACCATAAGGTGACCATGCGCCAAACTCTCAAGCCAAATTCAACAATTCTGATGACCATGAGGAGGAGTCTTCCCGATTCCCCTCCATCTTCGGCACCCTCCGTGTCGAACAGACCCAGCATGACCGAGGCATCCAAGAGCTTGGATTTAGCTTGGAACCCGGGAAAGGATATTTCACCAAAAGAGGGTTCACCTATAGATCACATAGGGACAATTACGAAATCATCCTAAGTAAGGCTGTAAGGAAAACCAGGAGAAGGTGTCTCAAGAGAACACCGCATCCAACGTCCTCAGGGAACCAACGTCCCACCCCCCAGGCCTCGGTCAGCTCCATGTGCGACACGTGCTCGACCAGCGCCATGAGAGCATCGTCCACGGCCAAGGTGACCAGCGACCACCTTGGCGTTCTTGTAGCCACCACCTTTTTTTCAGGCCTTTTAAGGATGCACAAAAGGATCCAGGGCTTGAAACTGTCCTGAGGAACAGGTCCAAGACTTGACTTCTTGAAGCCTTTATAGTGGATTGCGAGTAGAATGGCACAAACCCCAAGAGGTGGTGAATATGAACCCCCATGTAAAGAACATCTTGAGGTCTCTGCCATCTACTCTGAAACCACTGTAATAGTCCAAGGTTGGAAGTCATACCACTGGGCGCGCGGGCGGCTGGCACCAACGACTTTGTGGCTGGCACGGCGGCGGGATCCAGCTGGGATGACTGTTTTTTTAAAATAAGGGGCTCTTTCCAAAGTCCTTTTCATCTTTCCCACATGGCCCTTGTTGCTGTAGCCTAGCACCACTGGACTCCAAAGCCCAATACCCTGGACACCTGAACACTAAAAATTGCAAGAAGTGCTCAACAAGTTGCTCAAAGATTGGCAGGGTCTTGGAGTAGACTTCACTTGTCTAGGACTGGGGCTGTTGTCGTGAATGGCAAGGACTCTTGATCTGCTCCGCTTTCGGTGAAGCTTGTACCGGCTTGCTCGTTCGAACGTGAAGCGACCCCCTTGAATGGCCGAAGCTTCTGGCGACCCCCGAAGGAACAGCCCAAGAGTCTAGCTTAATTATTAGTCATATCAATTACTATGATAGTTTGACATGCCTGGAGTAGCTCAGCTTTTGGATCATTGAACATGTCACCTTCTCATTCTCCCCTTTGTTCAAAGCACACTCTCCCATTCACACGCGGTCATCCCAGGTGTCCAGCCCTGCTTCGATCCATGCCGGAACCGCCACGGCCACACCCCACCACCCCAACGGTCCGGTCCACCATCCGCCCAGCGGCGCAAGGTTGCCAAGGCCCTGGAGAGAGAAACCTCACCCAGGAGGCTTGGCGGAAGATGAAGCGGAGAGTGGTCGGCCCCAGGAGAGTGGTCAATGGCCTCACCCATGAAGCAGTTGGCCTCTAAGGCGCAGTTGGTCCCAACTGCTCTGGGGCTTTGCAAATCAATGACCATGAAAAAAACCCTTAGCTTCCGTTTTGTGGGTACAATTGTGCTTGTCATTAAGCACTTGTCCTAACCACACTCAGCCTCACATTTGGGCACAGCATCTGCTTGATAGACCGATGCCACCGGCCTTCCAGCCATCCACCAGGCCATCCGCCAGGCTTTCTTCGGACGCGTTTTCGCTCTTCATCCACAGCGTTGAAACGAGACACCGGTGAAACGGAGGGGTGAAAGGGGTGAAACGGAGGGTGAAAACACCGAGCCTGGCCAGGCGGCCTTCACTGATCAAAAGCCACCTACTGCCGCCCTGCCGCCCTTCAATACGTTCTGTTGCAAGAAATCATCTATGTTTGGGATCGGCTTAGTAAGGCTTAGAAGATAAGCTTCAATTTAGCAAAGCGAACACAACATAAAATAATATATAAACTGTTTCCAGCCCCTACCAGGGGTTCCACCCTGCATGCTGACACGCAAGAGTCGGCTGCTTCATCAGCATCCTCTGAGGCGATGTTTATTCTGCTTGACTCCCGGCACTCTCAAAATCATACAATCAACATACTGCACCTATAAATTATAAACCTGAAGCTTCAACATGCAGGAAAAAACACTGCTTCTGTGACGCACTTGTTAGCCCATCAATTCCAGTTGAACATACACGTGAACATCTATTTGCCGAGCGTCATCCTGCAACAAAATAACCTCTGCTGGCCCTCTCAGCGAGCATAGGCTGAGGACTTCGCCGGTGACCCTGGCACTGCAGCCGGCGCGGGCGGCGCCACCGCCGCAAAGGGCGTCGCCTCGCGCTGGGACACGGCGCGGTAGGCCGAGTGGCTTGCCGCGCGCGAGCTGGCAATGGACCTGAGGGGCAAATGACATGGGGGGTCAGTTCATGGCACTTCAGTTGAAGAGTGCAGGAAGGTTCAATGTCACTTCAAAGAACAAAGGCTGACTACCAGCGGATTATGGATTCCGACATGGTTGGGATTTTTACCAGCATCTGCGCCAATGGGTTTGACTTTCCCAATGCCTGATTTCGTAAGGGTTCTCACCTACTCAGTCTTTTGAACAAGTTCTGATGTTCTACGAGGTGTTGTGTTGCAGCTCAGATGTTTCTTCCACCACTTTTTCACTCAGTTCATCCAAGACTCCCAGATCGCTGGGAACGGCCCGACCGCTGCGACCGTGCATGGCCACTACGGACCGAGGGCGCGGTGGACCGCGGTGGACCGCGCTGCGAGAGCTCATGCAGCTCCGGGGCGCTACTGGAGGGGAGCAGCGCTGAAGGGCGAAGGGTCTTCACCTCAGCGTTCAGCGGACGAAGAAGCGGAAGCTTTGGTGGGAGGCTACAGGTACCTAAAATAGTTGTACACTCTGGTATCCCATCTATTGATCAACCTTTTAACGTCCATCCGCAGGACGATTTTGGCTAATATGGAGTTAGGAATGAGTTCGTTTGCTAGCAAGAACTCACTGGCGAAAACGACCCAACCCAGTCCAAGGCACCTCTGTCCCAGGGAGGGGCAAAGACGCACTCGAAAAGGAGCCGTGCATGGCATCGAGATTCACAGTTGCCTTCTCCCAAGGTGTTTGCCTCGAACATGCAGTGAACGCATGTGATACCCAATGCGAGGAATGCAGCATCAAAATGAACTGAGCTTCATGAAAATCCATGCCCCGTCATCCCTACTCCGTTGAAACATGCCAAGAAAATAAAAAACTCGTCAAACATGAGCTCTTTCTACCTACTCAGTTTAGTATGGTATGGCATGTTTGATCAATGTGAAGCACAAACTCCAAACTCCCTGTCAGCAAAAAAAACAGCGCCTTTTCCGTGGAAAGGCATCATGCAAGTGCTTCTCCTCAAGGAGAAGGGCCAAGGGATTCAAAGAATAGAAGTTTCACAGCAAGCCATTGGACCCATATCATATGAACCCATGGGACCCTGCTTTGAACATGAACCTCGATGCTGTTTTTTTTTTTACCACCTGCAAAAAACGCTCCTAAGATCTGGGGCAGACTGAGGTTCCATCAAAGCAACATCTTCAAAACACCCCAGGAGCACTTTTTTTGTTCACAAGTTAGTGCACCCACTGCCCACGAATATTGACTGCTGGCGAAAAAACACATGTAAACCATGTAAATAAATGTAATTAAATGCGATTCTGATATGGGGGTTCAACATCTCATGAGTCATCATCACCATCATCAATCATCAATCGTCAATCGTCAATCATCCATTATCCATCATCATCATCATCATCATTATCATCATCAATCATAAATCATAAATCATCAATTAATAGTAATCATCATCATCATCATCACCACCACCACCATCATCATCATCATCATCATCAATCGTCAATCGTCAATCGTCAATCGTCAATCATCATCACCATCATCATCATCAATCATCAATTGTCAATTAATAATCGTCATCATCATCATCATCATCATCATCATCATCATTTAACCATCAACCATCAGCCATCAATCGTCATTCATCAATCATCAATCATCAATCATCAATCATCATCATCATCCTCATCCTCATCATCATCATCATCATCATCAACCATCAACCATCAACCGTCAACCGTCAACCGTCAACCGTCAACCGTCAATCATCCATCATCCATCATCCATCATCCATCATCATCATCATCATCATCATCATCATCATCATCATCATCATCATCATCATC